TTGGGAAGAAAGAAAAGTCAAGATAAAGAGCAAGAATACAATCAGAAGGATCGACTTTCTTGCCTTCTCGATGAGTGCTTTTCCACTAGTTTGTTTCTGGGAATAAAATATTCTTCTCAACCGCAAAACTTATGACCAGAATTGGTCTTTGATTAAATAAGGTAAGAGAAAGCAAAATCGATTAAAATTTTCCTTTATTTCTCAACCGTAAATCGTCAAACTACACCAGAAGGAACCTGTAAACACAGGAGCAATCTATTGGAACCAAACCAAAACCAAAAGGGAATCACTTTGTTTACTTCTAATCTCCTCTACAGTTCACTACAAAACTTGTCTTACAATTTGTTTACATTGTCCCTACGAACATTTTAGATTTCACTTTTCAACGAATACCTAAAAATAACCTCTGGCAGCGCATTTGCTCGCACTTCTTTTGTTTACGAGCATATAGAGAAAACTTGATAAGCTTGAGAAACCAGTAGCCAAATACATTACTTTTTTTTTTGCTAAGACAAGTACATTACTTTGTTCTTGAGCACCTACATTACATACCACGAGACAAGTTTTAGTAATCAAATTGTGACGAGCATACACACATCACAACAAAAAGCGCAAGAAACAACAAAGAACGCTCATGTGTTTATATTAATCTACAGTAATATACTTCCACTAGTTTTGAGAAACAGCAGTTGATATATCTTTGAAACTGGAAAAAACTTTGTAGTAAAACCATCCCTTGAGTTCATATTTATCATTAGATACTACATGACTTGGGACTGATGAATAATGAGATGGGACAAAGAAAGCATGTATATATCAGATAAGTAACAACTTGTTGGAGGTGGTTTTGGGAGACTAAAGATTTTTCTAAAGCCAAAAAAGACTTGAAAAAATCAGTTAAGTAACAACGTATTGGACGTAGTTTTGGGAGACTAAAGATCTAAACCCAAAGAAGACTTAAAATCTTCAACTTTTCATGCCAGTACCAAAACAGCCAGAACAAGTCATCCGGTGGTAAGGAATGATTACAATTCAAAGGATTCCAGAAAGACAAATAAAACCGTAAACAATTACTAATAATCCAAGAAGAGCAGATCAAGAAACACAACCTTTTTTTTTTTTTTGTCACACAAGAAACACAACTTTTCAAACTTAAAAAAAAAAAAAAGATCTGACAGAAATTTCACCTTGTGCACTGAGATCAGGAGATGATAAACCATGCTTCTCAGCACCGCCAATCCAGCTGCTGCTAATGCTGGAGCAAAAAAATCTTCTAGGGAATCCCTTTGAAATCCAGAATGTCCAATAAGGACTGAAGAATGCATGAAGAATCCAAATGTGTTTGCCATTCAATAAAAATTCACTGAAAAAGAATTGGATGAAGCAATTGGGCAGTAACAATTACAAGAGAGACACAACTTTTTTACATCCCTCAGATTTTGTCTCCAAGCAAGGACGGTGCAGAGCCCCGGCTCAACATTTCTTTGATAAGCTGGGCTGATGCGGTTATGTCACCATCTCCAAGACATAGTTTGGAGTCATTCAGGATAAGCCCTTCTCCTTTCATTTTTTTTATGCAATGCATCTAATTCACGATGTAGGCCTTCCCTACACAAGCCTGACCTCATAATAAATGAAATTTACAGATGAAAACAAAACAAAACTAGACCTGCCATTTTCTGTCACAACCATCAAAATCTCAAGAAACCAAAACACACAATAGAAAATGGCAAGCACCGAATCTCTCTTGCCTCTCACTTCCCAACAACAAGATCCATTATCAGATTCATCAAGATCCGACCCAAACCCGGAAACCCACCGGAGAATACCCATCAAAGTTCATCTTGCGGTCTACTCCGGTTTTCTTTTGTTCGCTTTGTACGTTACTCTCATCGTCACACACGACGGACCAAGAGGCAAAAATGGTGAAACCACGACGGAGTCACGTGCTCGTCTTGTCGGTGTGTCGGAAAAGGGAGTTTTCGTTGATCCGGAAAGTGAAGCGTTCCCGTGGAACAATACTTTATTGTCATGGCAACGAACGGCGTTTCATTTCCAGCCTGAGAAAAATTATATGAACGGTATGAACAACAATAAGATTTAAAACTGTTTTATTAGTTATATGAATAAATTAATTAATCATTATTGATTTTCTTATATATACATCTTTTTCTTTTCCTAACAACATCAAAGAATATTCAAAAAGGTTTAGATGTCATTTCATAACTTTTTTCTATCAAGAACAAGATTTAAGTAATTAAGCTATAGTGATATAAAATATTTTTGATTTCCATTAGAGATCATAAAATTGTATCAACAATTTCAATTTTTTTTGCTATTTCTTTATTTATATTTAATTTTCTTTTTTGCTATTTCTTTATCTCTTTATCCAATGGCGACTCTGAATGACAAATTTTCTGGTTTTTCCGTCGGCAGATCCTAATGGTAAGCTCTGGATCCTAATTGAAG